CCAGGGCCATTTGGCGCCACAACTCCATTATGTGTCCTTTGGACATGGGGTAAGCGATAGAAATTTTTTTTCTTTTCTTTTTTTTTTTTTTTTTTGAGACAGAGTCTCGCTCTGTCACCAGGCTAGAGTGCAGTGGCATGATCTTGGCTCACTGCAACCTCCGTCTCCTGGATTCAAGCGATTCCCCTCCCTCAGCCTCCTGAGTAGCTGGGACTACAGGCGCATACCACCACGCCCAGCTAATTTTTTGTATTTTTTAGTAGAGACAGGGTTTCACCGTGTTAGCCAGGATGGTCTCGATCTCTTGACCTCGTGATCCACCCGCCTCAGCCTCCCAAAGTGCAGGGATTACAGGCATGAGCCACCGCTCCCTGCCAGCAATAGAAACTTTTTGACAAAATCAAATGGGTGTGGTTTGAGGAGGTGATGTGACATCATTCAGGGTCCAGAAGTGTGGGTCTGAGTTGTGGCTCTTCCTTTACTAGCTGTGTGCCCCTAAGGAAGTCCTTCCACTTCTCTGGGCCTCTGTTTTATCATCTGCAAACTGGGGATAATGACGCTTACTTTGTTCCCCTTTTGAGCACAAACAAGGTTGTGGAGGAGAAAGTGTTTGGGGACCCTGGAGGGGGTAGCTGCTGTCCTCAGCGGGGGATCTGGAGCAGCAGGGATCACGGTGGGTGACATGGGGAGCATGGGCACCAGGTCCTACCAGGAAATGGCCTCCCTGTCTCCTAGGGCAGCCTGCTCTCTCTGTTAGCAGAAGAAGGAGGAAGCATTTGAGGGGAGGGGAATAAGCAGAAAAGGACCCACAGGGTGGGGGAGAATGACAATAACAGTTGCCAATAAATGAGCAACTGGGACCAAGGTCCAAGCCTAGGACCAAGCACTTGATATGGGCTACAAATGCTGTCTTTCCCCGCCCCGGCAGGCCCATATGCAGGCCCGGTTTGTGATCCTGAGAGTCTTGCTGGAGGCTGGCGAGGGACTCGTTACCATCACTCCCACCACAGGCTCTGATGGGCGCCCAGATGCCCGGGTCCGCCTCGACCGCAGCAAGATCCGGTCTGTGGGCAAGCCTGCTCTAGAGCGCTTCCTGCGGAGACTTCAGGTAAGCAAAGCCCTCTCGCCTGGATGGGCCCCCGCCAACCTCTCCAGGGGCAGAGTGTTACCATGTGCCAGGCACGGAGAATAAGCTGTGAGCAGTTTCTTACGCTGCAGTGAGGAAAGGTAGCCAGTAAACATGTAAGCACACCGGGTGCCTCACGTCTGTGATCCCAGCACTGTGGGAGGCCGAGGAGGGCGGATCACTTGAGCTCAGGAGTTCAAGACTAGCCTGGGCAACATGGCAAAAACCTTGTCTCTACAAAAAATACAAAAATTAGCCAGGCATGGTAGTGCGCACCTGGAGTTCCAGCTACTCCAGAAGCTGAAGTGGGAGGATCACTTGAGCCTGAGAGGTGGAGGCTGCAGTGAGCTGTGATTGTACCACTACCCTCCAGCCTGGGTGACAGAATGAGACCCTATCTCTAAAAAAAAAAAAAAAAA